ATAAAATGTGGTCAGCGAGGTAAGCCAAAGATGGTGCATGCCAACAGGCTTTGGCGTTATCATGGTCCAGGACATTTCAGTTGGGATAATGTGAACAATGGAACAAATGACGCTGCTGAAGACGTGTCACCTGAAAAAGCCACTGTCGAAGAAGAAACTCTACTCGGTTTTGAGAAGGGAAACAGCGAAGTCCTTGATGAAGTTACTACCACTGATGTGACTGTTACCGATGATAGGACATTTCTTGATGAAGCAGAAGCCAACTTGACGGAGACCAGTACGGAAGAAGATACGTCCCGTAAAATTAAGAGACTTTGTTGAATTTTAATTTTATGTTCGTAAATTCTGTACATTTAATTAAGTTGTTGCTAATTGGTTTAATGTAAGTGGCTATTGTTCGGGACGAACAATACTAAGGAAGGGGCAGTGTTACGACAGCGGGGCCACGTGACGAGTATTCTCGAAGATTCGCTAGTGTGTTACGACAGCGGAAGTTGAGAGTCTTAGAAGTTTCTATAACAGGCGGTATTATCTTACATAAGTGCGCAAGACAGTGAGACGAGGGGGAGACGAAGCAGAGTAGGCAACCAAGGACAGCGATTACAGTCGGCGGAAACCGAGGATAGCAGATACAGAGATCGGAACTATAGTTGGCGGGGACGGACAATAAAGTCTAAGCGCGGTAGAAAGTGAGTGAATTGTTGTGAACTATAGTGTGTAACTGTGAAAATTAAGAGTATTACAATGTTGTATTGAGGAAGAATATACAAGTTTTATTTAAGAAAGGACTTGTATCGTAGAAGAATTAACAAACAAACATACAGAGACGTAACAATATAATCATGGAGTTTCTAAAAATCGTTGGAGGTGAAACATGAATAAAGTAATCCCAAAAGGTAAATAATAAACGTACACGAAATCAAATATGCATGAAACACAACAGTTCCTCGAGATATTACCAACTGTAATTATAGTATTTTGGCACTTGTGTATAAAGTTAAAATCCTAAATAATATTCAACATTAAACTGGTACACAATTAAAAACATTTTATTTAGGCCTATCTATGGCCTTCAAAAAGTTGACGACTCTACATGCTGAGAATGACGTTGTAACGTCGAAACATGTAGAGTCATCAACTTTTAGAAGGCCATAGATAGGCCTAAATAAAATGTTTTTAATTGTGTACCAGTTTAACGTTGAATATTATTTATGATATTACCAAATGTCTTTTCTCACCCATTTTACGTTCAACTGTAATTCACGTCTTCAGCGATTAACGTAAATCAGGGCATTATAGTTGTAAAATTGAAGCATCAAAATATAGAACAAACACAATGCGATGCGCCAGAAGTGACACAGTCACAAGGTGGTATGGGTAAATGGCTGGGAGATCATTTTGTGATGGGGTTAGTTTTAATTAGTTAGTTTTACAAACTGTGTATCGAGATCTCTCTCAAATCATTTAAATTAATTTGTTTCCATGTGTACAGTGACTGTGTAGAAATGTAATATATGTAATATATTATGGTAAATTATACATTATGGTAAACAAGCTGGGTGAAAAATATTAAAAGATGAAAATAAAAATGTAATCATTGTTCATTTAGTTATGCACAATCACAAAACAAATTTTACTTTGTTTTGGAGTTTTACTCAGAACTTTATGAAAGTTTGTTTTGAATTTCGCGCAAAGCTACACCAGGGCTATCTGCGCTAGCCGTCCCTAATTTAGCAGTGTAAGAAAGCTAGTCATCACCACCCACCGCCAACTCTTGGGCTACTATTTTACCAACGAATAGTGGTATTGACCGTCACATATATAATGCCCCCTCGGCTGAAGGGGCGAGCATGTTTGGTATGACGGGGATTCGAACCCGCGACCCTCAGATTGCGAGTCGAGCGCCCTAACCACCTGGCCACGCAAGTTGGTTGTTCGGGATATATATACAGAATATTTTGTTGCCTGCCACTTTAAAACAATTTTAAACAACGGCAACAACAACAAAACTCTCATACATTGTTTTCACACACACACACAAAAAAAAACATCAGCTAAAGTATTTACTTTTATTGAAATTACTAAAAGATCAGACCTCATATTCAGAGGTTTTCTAAATAGTGGTTAATACCTGAATTTTCCGTTTTGTGGCATCAATAAAAAAATCAAATATTATGATTAATAAATAAAAAGAAATAAAAAGAAGATTGCAGAGATATAAGGTTCAGGTATAAATACACTTGTTACTCATTATGTTGGCACTGGAAATTTCTAAAGCATATGCAACAAGTCTAAACTGAATGAAATAGCTTTCATGAAGATCATTTGAAAATACAAAAAAAGATTAGATATTCAAAATGTGAAATATCAAGTTTAAGTGGAAATACGGATACTTTTAGACGTTTAGAAAACATGAAAAATTAAATTTTCAGGAGGTTTTTAATTATGCACATCACCAAGATTGTAAGTGAAAGCTAATGACACTTTTAATTCTTTAGAAAAGATAAAAGGGTTGGATTTCGAGCAACCAATCCTTTAGTTAAACAAAAGCTGATTATACAACAAAATGTACACATTCTAGAATTCTTAAAAGACGTCACTATTTTTGAAGAATCTTTAAAACATATAAAACGTTTTACCATTTCCAAACATGGCAACTGCATTTTAAAATGTTCAATTCAATCAACATTTTATCATTTCAATAATCCTAATCACACACACACACACTTATACCGAACATAACAATTACAACTTCCCGGAAAAAGAAAACACACAAACAATATATATTTCCTAAAGACTTCTATTGTGATGGGTATTACAGAAAATTTACAATTTGAATACATTTCATACCAATAAATACACTAAGGTCAATTAATAGAACTCTATTAATCATTGGGCTCATTAATCACATTCCACTAATGAACTATTTTCATGAGACTTGGGTACTTCAAATAATCAAAAATAGTAATAATCAGAAACACTATGTTTGATTAAACCGAAAACCTAGAATTAACGGAAACAAATGAGAAGACATGATAATAATATTTTGATCATTGTAAAGTTGGAATAATCGGAAATACTGATTATAATTAGTCGATTAAATTTTCTGACATTAATTAGGCGTAGATGTAATTTCAGTTAATTAATCATTATAT